GGTCTAGTGGTTAAGGCGTCTGGATCCCACGTGGCTAACTGTGCAGGGAGTCTCAGACTCTATGGTTTGAAAAACACGGGTGAATGTGCATGCATGCCCAAAATCCCAAAAGGAGGGGAAGTGGGGTGTGCTTTAACTCTCTCTGGTGCATGTACATGCCCTCTAGTCAATTTTTTTTTTTCATTTTAAACAAGAAGTTTATTTAAACAAGATGCTTAACTTGAAGGGAAAACTATCTAGGATTCCTTTTTTTCTTTAAGAGTAATTTACCCCTACTTAAAGACAGATTGTCCTACATGTAACGGCTACGTACAAAAAAGTTATAAAATTGTCCTTGGTTTTACAATGATAAATGAAAAACATTAAAATTCTCCAAACAAGGTATGCAAGGATTTTTATGTTGTTGGGTTTTTATTTCTTTTTCTTTTTGTTAAAACAGCAAAATAACTTACTGGAATATAAAGATAAGAGCTGAGTGAGCATACCACTAATGGAGAAAGGGGGTATTTTCACAGAACCGGTATTTTTCCCCATCCCATCTCCATTTGATGTCAATCAAAACATACCATTGGCCATTTAGTTTTAAAAAAATGCAATATGCTTGTGCACATACACCAGTTACTTTATGTACAATAAAGGAATGGGGAAGTGAAAACGAAAGAATAGAGAAAACTATACTGTAGTAGTCAGGATGTGGTGAAACCAAATTGTGGTTTTCTAATTGAGAATGTATTCTTGGTCTATAAGAACAGAGTTCTGGAGTAAAGAAGTAGGTTCCCTTTTCAGTAGATACCTCCTGTCTGCTGTTGGAACACGTGGATTGTATTTTCATCCTCCATTTCCAACTGTGCAGGTGTGTCTGTTTCGTTGATCGGCTGCCCATCAAATCGGAATCTGATCTGCCTCATTGACAAATCCTGTCGTTCACAATAGGCTTTCATTTACTAAGTGGTGTATGCCTCTTAATCTTAAACTGCACCACAGAACCATCCTGACCTGCCACCTGCAAATTAATATGATCGTTGTTCTCAGTCTCAACTCCTTCCTTAGGCTTTTCATCCGCCATGACGAGCGCCAGTCTCCTCAGCTGCCGCTTCACAAAAGAGGTTCCAGGTCCTCACAGGATGAGCACACAGGCAGCACCAGGAGCGGCAGAAGCACTAGCCAATATTTTTTTAACTTTTTTTTTTTTTTTTTTCAGTTTATAAGGCATGAGCCCTCTTGAAGGGTAATGGAGAGAGGGAGAAAGAGAGAAATCACATGCTGCAATCCCTTCTCCATTCTCATCTCCGTATTTTGGGCACACATGCACATCATATGCTTGGCTTTTTTTTTTTTTTTTTTTTTTTTGCTATAGGGCGCATGCGCTCGCCAGAAAGACAGAGACAGAGACAGAAAGTGAGAAATCATCCCCTGGGAGGATGGCCATGCCGCAATCTCTTCTCCATTCTCCTCTCAGGATCTTAGGCACGCACGCACATGTGCCTGGCATGAGTTTAAGCCACCAGGTCCAGGACTCGAATTGTGGTTGACTACATGGGAGTCTAACGACATAGCCATTACTCTAACTGCTGGTCCCACTTGGCATGATTTTAAAGCCACTAAATCCCAGATTCAAACCACACGATCAACTTGTGGGATCCAGGTTAACTTCCACACTACCTGCTGGCTCCAGATTTTATTTCTTTATAGTAGTTCTAGGTTCACTTACATTGCTAGACTCCCGTGTAGTCAACCTCAGTTCGAGTCCTGGACCCAGCGGCTTAAAACTCACACCAGGTGCATGTGCATGCGTGCCCAAGATCCCAAGAGGAGAATATAAGAGAAGGAATTGTGTAGTCATCACTCCGGGGGGTGATTTCTCACTCCCCCCCCCAGAGGTTTTCGCTATAGGGCGTATGCGCTCGCCAGACAGAGAGAGACATAGAGATAGAAAGCGAGAAATCACCCCCCCCAGGGGGGATGGTCACACCGCAATCCCTTCTCCTCCATTCTCCTCTCGGGATCTTGGGTACGCACACACACACGCCCGGCGTGAGTTTTAAGCCTCCGGGTCCGGGACGTGAACCGCGGTTGACTACATGGGAGTCCAGCGACATAGCCATTACGCTAACTGCTGGTTCCCGATTTCTTACTTTCTGTCTGTCTCTGTTTCTCTGGCATGTACACACACCTGTAGCAAAAAAAATAAAAAAAACAGTAAAAATAAAAGTAAATGGAAAGTACAGCAAATTCCTGTAAAACTTCTGTCCTAATAATCATACAATCTTTCCTTCCATCAATATTCCATATCACAGTGGTTCATTGTTACAATCAACAAACCTATATTAACACAAAATTATCGCTGCCAGGAGATAGTGCAACAGTTACATCAATGGACTCCCACATGGCTGTTAGAGTCCCGGAGGCTTCAAAATCACACCTGGCCCATGTGTGCCAAAGATCCTGGGAGAATGAAAGAGAAGGGATTGCAGTGTGGCCATCCTCCCTGGGGGGTGATTTCTCACTTTCCTCTCTCTCTCTCTCTCTCTCCAGGTGTCATATAGTTAGAATCATGCAATATATATCCTTTTCATTTACCATATATTCTTCTTCCACTTAATGTTCCTCTTTTCTTTATGCCTTCACAGCTCATTTTTTTTTTAGTACTGAATAATATTCCACTGTGTTGAGGTTCCACAGTTTATGTATCCATTCATCTGCCGTTAGGCTAGGACATTCAGTCTCACAGAATATGCCACAAGTATATTTCTCTGGCATATTTCAAGCTGGCTGTTCTGAGAAACTGCAAACACAGAAGTAACTGAAAAGCTGCAATTTTGGGGCCGGCAGATGGCATGGTGGTTAGAGGTGCCGGACTCCTACATGGCTGACAGTAGTTCAAGTCCTGAACCTGCTGGCTTGTTTTCTCACTTTCCCTCTCTCTGTCTTGCTCTGAACAAACTGGAAAATAATCATGATAAATAAAGTTAAATAAAATAATTCTTAAAAAAAAAACAAAAAAAACCCTGCATTTCCAAAAAAAAAAAAAAAAAACTGCATTTCCTTAAAAGAAATTAACATCTAGGAGCCGGCAGGTGGCGCTGGACTCCCACATGGCTGACTCTGGTTCAAGTCCAGGACTTGGTGGCTTGCTTTCTCGCTTTCTCTTTCTCTTTCTCTTTCTGTGTGTCTTGCTGGTCAAATTTTAAAAATATTAATAATGATGAATAAAATTTTTAAAAAATAATTATTTAAAAAAGATTAATGTCTAAAAAGGAAATTTTCACTGGAAAAGGTGTCTATATCAGGAGAACATTTATTACCTGATAGGCTTTTATTTGCATAACAAGACAATCTTCATTCACCATACATTTCCTTCACTTGCTCTCTCATAATTTGTCTCCACCACCCCCAGAAAACCCAAGCCCCTATTCCTTTCTAGAGCTCAATGTATTATATATACTTCAATCATCTGGTCCTTCTTTGAGGCTCATATTTTTAATGAGAATCCTGTGTTTGTATAAGTTTCCCATTAACCTGTGGTCTGTCAATTCAATTCGTAACCTAGCCAAAGGAGCCATTTTTCTCTGCCCTGTCATTTGCTAGGACAGAGATTGTCCTAAAAATTGTTGAGTTTTGTTTCTATTTTTGTTTTTAGAGAGTTTTTTGCTATAGGGTGCATGCGCTTGCCTGAGAGACAGAAAGCAAGAAATCACCCCCCGGGGGGATGGCTATGCCACAATCCCTTCTCCTCCATTCTCCTCTTGGGAGTTTGGGCACATGTGCACACAGATGTGCCCGGTGAGTTTTAAACCATTAGGTCCAGGACTCGAACCCTGGTCAAAAACATGGGAGTCCAGTGACACAACCATTATGCCATCTGCTGGTCCCACAGTTATTATTTTAAAGATTCTGGAATTAGGAGTAAAGCTGCTGTAAATTTAGCAATGGGCAGGTTTTTGTGGGGACATAAATTTTCACTTGATAAATATCAAGGGGAGTGATTGCTGAATTATATGGTAAGAATATGTTTAGTTTTTAGGATTTTTTTTTTTTTTAAAGAAACTGCCAAACTCAGGGGATAGCAGATGGCATGGTAGTTAATGCACTGGACTCCCACATGGCTGACCATGGTTAGAGTCCCAAACCTGGCAGTTTAAAAATCACACCAGGCATGTGTGCATGCATGCCCAAAATCCTAGGAGGATAATGGAAGAGAAAGGCTTGTGGAGTGCCATTCCCACTGGGGAATCATTTCTCCTTTCCCTCTCACCATCTCTGTCTCTCTCCAGCAAGTGCACACACCCTATAGCAAAAAAATTTTAAATAAGTCAAAAGGAAAGAAAAAACTGCCAAACTGTCTTCCAGCATGACTATAAATTTTGCATTTCCACCAACAATGAGAGTTCCTATTGTCCCATGCCCTCAACAACATTTTGGATTTTAGTCATTTTTTTAAAAAATTATTGAGGGGCCAGCAGATGGCATAGCGGTTACATTGCTGGACTCCCACATGGCCAACAGGGTCCCAAGTCCCAGACCTGGTAGCTTGAAACTCATGCTGGGTGCATATGCATGCATGCCCAAGATCCCAGAAAAAGAATGAAGAAGGGATTGCAGTGTGGCCATCGCCCTGGGTGGTGGTGGTGGTGGTGGTGGCGATTTCTCATTTTCCCTCTCACTGTCTCTGTCTCTGTCTCTGTCTCTCTCTCCAGTAAGCACACACACCCTAAGGCAAAAATCTCTAAAAAAAAAATTATTAATTTATTTCATTTCATTTGTTGTTTGACCAGAGAGAAAGAGAAAGTGAGACAGCAAGCCATTAGGCCTGGGACTCCAACTGGGTCAGCCATGTGGGAGCCTTAACCACCATACCACCTGCCAGCCCCCGAGTAAGATCATTCTAATGTGTGGTCCTGACAACAGAAATAACCAAGCCCCGTAGAAATCATAATTAACATGATTTATTCTAAGCACAGTTTTCAGTGATCAGGCTCAGAGAAACACAAAAGCGTTACCTTGGATGCTCAGATACAGTTGTCCTTTTGTTCCGTTCTGAGAGCAGGAGACACAAACTTGTCAATTAGCATTAGGGGTCTCTTCATTGGCCTGATCCAAAAATGTGGGACATCTGGAAGCAGAGGCTTGTAAGGTGGGTTTAGAAATTCTTAGGTTAGTAATTGGTTAAATATGCAAATCTTTGTCAGTGAAGAAGAAAGTCTGAATTTAACCTAAATGTAGATAATAAGGCCACACATTTATCTGCTGATGCTATTCCAGGGTCAGGACGTAAGGAGCTGCCCACAATTGCTAGACCAATACAGTCTATTACAGCAAGATTAATGTTTGTAGACATGACTCTCCCAGGTCCCTTGGAAAGCATCCTAGTCTAGGGAGAAGAGTCAGAAATCTGTCCTCAGTATTATCTCACTGTTAATCTACAGTTCCCTAAGGATTCATATGCTTGTTAGCCACCTGGATATCTTCTTTGACAAGGAGTCTACTAGGCATTTTCCCCATTTTTAAATTGAGTTGTTCGTTTTCTCATTGTTCTAAGAGTTCTTTGTATTTCAGACAAAAATGCATTTACTAGATGTGCCTTTTCCAAATATTTTTTTCCCAGTCTATGGCTTGTCTTCTCATTCTCTTGATCTCTCAGACATTTTAAAATTGATATCTAAACTGTTTCATCATGGGCGACTTCATGCTACAGTGGTTAATGTGTTGCTCAGGAGAAGCTGGAGCCCACATGGTGACTGCAGTTTGGATCTCTGGCCCATCAGCCTGGAACATGCTGGGCACTCTTTTTTTTTTTTTTTTTGGAGAGGTTTTCACTATAGGGCATGTGCACTTGCCAGACAGACAGAGACATAGAGACAGAAAGCGAGAAATCACCCCCCAGGGGGGATGGTCACACCACAATCCCTTCTTCTCCATTCTCCTCTCGGGATCTTGGGCATGCACGCACACGCGCCCGGCGTGAGTTTTAAGCCACCGGGTCCGGGACACGAACTGCGGTTGACTATGTGGGAGTCCAGCAACATAGCCATTATGCTAACCGCTGGTCCCACATGCTGGGCACTCTTGAAAACACCTAAGATCTGATGGACTGGAAGGCTGGAGGAAGGGGATAATGGAGTAAATAGACCTTACGGAGGGTGCTTATCTCTCCCTCTTTCTCTATCACTCACTCACATGTGCATGTGTACACTATCATGAATAAAGAAAACAAACATTTTTAATTTAAAAAAATAATGATTTATTTGATTCTGTTTACTATCATTATTTTTCAATTTTGACCAAAGAGAGAGAAAGGGAAACTGGAAACAAGCTGCCAGGTCTGGAACTCAAACTGCAGTCAGCCATGTGGGAGTCCAGTGCCTTAACCATCACACCACCTGCCAGCCCCAAAACTAAATAATTCTTTAAAAAATAGATAAGTAAGCTCCTCTTCAGGTAGAAATTTTACATCCCTCTTTTCCTTTTAGAGCTAGTATTTTCATTCTACTTCCCCCATAAAATTATATCCTAATGATAAATAGGATATTGTTTTTATTGATCACATCATATAACTCTGCAAATAAAACTTTTAAATTTTTTTAATTTCTATGACTAGGGGCTAGCAAGTGGTGTGGTGGTTAAGGGCTTGGACTCCCACATGGCTGACCGCAGTTAGAGTCATGGACCTAGAAGCTTTCTTTCTCTTTCTCTCTCTCTCTCTCTCTCTCTCTCACTGTCCCTCTCTGGTCAAATTAAAATAAATAAGTAAGTTAATTAATTAAATAATTCTTTTTATAAATTCTATGACTAGAAGGAAAGTTATACTAAGCTATTGTTTGTTTATTTTTTAAGAATTATTTTGGGGCTGGCAGGCGGTGTGGTGGTTAAGGGTTGCGAACTCCCATGTGGCTGACCACGTGGGAGTCCTGGACCTAGCTGCTTGCTTTCTCACTTTCTCTCTCTTGCTCTGTCACTTTGGTCAAAATTAAAATAAGTACATAAATAAATAAAGTTAAATAAAATAATTAATTTAAGCCAAAGGCTTGTCTTCTCATTCTCTTGATCTATATGACTGTTTAAATAACTTTTTGTATTTATTTTAACTTTGACCAATATATAAATAAAATTTGAAAAATATGTCATTTAACTTTATTTATTTTCACTTTGGGCAGAGAGGAGGGGTTGAGAGAGAGAAAGAAAGTGAGAAAGCAAGCCACCAAGTCTGTGATTTGAATCGTGGTCAGCCATGTGGGAATCCAGTGTTCTTAACCACCATGTCACCTTCTGGTCCCAGGGTTCTAAGTTCTAAAACATTTTCTTCTATATGATTTTTTTTTGTCTTTATTGGTTATCACATGATTCTTTATTGAAATGTTTTCCTGTGTGTGTTTTTTTTTTTTATTTTTTAAAGAATTACTCTATTTAACTTTACACATTTATTCTTAATTTGACCAGAGGAGAGACAGAAAGTGAGAAAGCAAGCCACCAGGTCTGGGACTCGAACCACAGTCAGCCATGTGGGAGTCTTGCAACTTCAACCACCATGCTGCCTGCAGCCCATCCTGTGTTTCTTAACTAGCTGGGCATTCCATTGTGCCACTGTTGATGTCATCAATGATGTCATGAGGGTGGCGGCCATGGACATTGCAGCCTACAGACTGGGCTGTCCTCAGGATCTCTTAAATGGTTCTAGAGTTCTCTGGCCAGACTGGTGCCTCATCTGTTGTGCAATGCTGACAATCTCATTCAAAGTGATGTTTCCACTATGTTTAACAATCTTCTGCTTCTCTCTCTCTTGGCGGTTCATTGAGGGCTGCAGAAGGTACTACTTCAATCTGAGTCTGTCTATTCTAAGTGATCAGTTTCAAGGTAATGCTCTCAGGCCCTTCCAGTCACCGGTTGCCTTGGTGATGTCATCACTAATCTTTTTAGGAGACAGACCCTGAGAGCTGATCTTGGGACCCAAGGCAGACATGGCACTGACTTCACCACCAGTGCAACTCATGTAAATGACATTGATCTTGTTGGGGTCGAACTTGGGTGCCATGGTGGAGGCAGCTGACATTGGATGGACCCAGATAAAGTAGGACAAAGAGTTGCACAGAGGCCTCCTCCAAGCCAAAAACTATATGACTGTTTTGACAGTTATTAATAGTAAACAACTGATATCAAGATAGCATAGAGGGACCAGCAGTTAGAGTAATGGCTATGTTGCTGGACTCCCATGTAGTTGACCGAGGTTTGAGTCCCAGACCTAGTGGCTTAAACTCACACCAGGTGCATGTGCGTGCATGCCCAAGATCCCAAGAGGAGAATGGAGAAGGGATTGCGGCGTGGCCATCCCCCATGGGGCACGATTTCTGTCTCTGTCTTTCTGGCAACCGCACCCCCCCTATAGCAAAAACTTCTCAAAAAAAAAAAAAAGAAAGAAAGCATAGATATGAATTTTTCTTGGTCTTTCTTGATTTCCACTTCAATGATCATGGGTAGAGGAAACTACATATTTGCTCATTCTGGTGTTCTTAAGCCCTGGTTCAAATGTACTACATTTATTTTGCTTACAACAAACAAAACAAGGGGGCCAGCAAATAGCCTGGTGGTTAAGAGCACCTGACTCCCACATGGCCAACCATGATTCGAGTCCCAGACCTGGTAGCTTGCTTTCTCACTTTCTCTCTCTGTCCCTCTCTGGTCAAATTTAAATTAAAAAATAAGGTTAAATAAAAGAATTCTTTAATAAACAAAACAAAACAACAAAAACGGGCCAGCAGGTGGCATACAGAGAAAGGTGCTGGATTCCATATGGCCAACTGCAGGACCACTGGCATGAAAATCATGCCAGGCATATGTGTGTGCCCAAAATCCTGATGGGAGAATGGAGAAGGGATTATGGTATGGCCATTTCCTCATGGGGGTGGGGGTTACTTCTCACTTTCCCTCTATCTCTGGCAACCATACATGGCCTGTAGCTTTAAAAAAAGAACAAACCAGGGCCAGCTGGTGGCTGGTAGTTAAGATAGTTGGACCCCACATGGCTGACTGCACAGTTTGAGCACAGGACACAGCAGCTTAAAACACATGCCAGGTACATGTGCTTGGGTGCCCAAAATCCCAACAGGAGAAATGGAGAAGAGATTGAGGCATGACCATACCCCATCATAGGTGCTTTCTTACTCCTCTCACCCCACTCACTGGCAAGTATATGCACTCGCTAGCAACTTAAAAACAATACAAAAGTGACCTTTTTTTTTTTTGCCCTATGCCAAAAAAAAAAAAAACTTTTAAGAAAGTGATATTTTATCGAAAACTATCTTTTAATGAACAGATTTTTTTTTTTTTTTTTTTTTTTGCTAGAGATCATGTACTCACCACAGAGACAGAGGGAGAGGAGAAAGCACCCACCATGGGGAATGGTCACACTGCATTCCTTTGTTCCCCCATACCTTCCTCCTTTTGAGAGTTTGGGCACACATGCACACGTGCATGCACCCAGTGTTTCTCAAGCCATCAGGTCTGGCCCTCAAACCCAGAGTTAGCCATGTGGGATCCAGCGTCTAAACCACCATGCCACCTGCTGGCCCAAAGTAAGTCTCTTTAATAATTTTATGTACATTTTCTAAAAAATAATCCTGTGCCTTAATGATAATTTAGGGCCAGACGTGGTGGTTGACGCAGCTGGATGCTACATGCAACTGTGTGACTCAAGTCCCAGACCTGGTAGCATGAAAAAACACACTGTGTATGTGTGCATATGTGCCTAAAATCCTGAGGCGAGAATGGAGGAAAAGGGATTGTAGCATGATCATCACCCCTGAGAAGGCTGTCTCACTTTTCCTCTTTCTCTGTGTCTCTCTCTCTCTCTCTGGCGAGCACATGTCCCCTATAGCAAATTTTATTTTAATTCACAAAATAAGAGTATAAAATATTTTCAAGAATGATAATCTAGATAATTCAGACGCTTTCTTGCGTTATTGTATATTGGGTTGCCAATCCTTTGAATAAAACTCCTTTGAGACACATGTTCTCTAGTTACATCATTTTCTAATCTTCCCTGACATGGTATTAATTGACTTCTTGGACTGTTTTCACATTCATTGAAGTCTGTGAATCCGTCTAACTCTCCAGCCAAGTAAGAAACA